GTCATTCCTGACCAACCATATATCTATGACTATGCCAACCTGCTTGAGATGTACTTAAATCTATGTAGTGACTGTGTGCAGGTAAATTTCACCTGAAATCGTTTTACTTCCACCTGTTTCCTTTGAAGAGTTTGCACAATACAAAACCTGTCGACTATTTGAGTCCAAGTTCCAAAACCAAGTACTACTTCTGGTCTGGTAGAGTTCATTGAAACATATAATGAGCCAACCGGGTAAATAAGATTCGGCAAAATTTGTTTAAGCACATTGAGTTCCTGTCTTAGATGCATAATACTATTGTCATTAGATATCAAAGTATCTACAAGACTTGTTGCCGGTGGTATTGTTGGACCTTTACTTGGCAAGGTTGTGTTTAGTGTAATATCATCTGCTGTAAAAGTTGTAAAACTTGTATGTGTATGTCCAACGTCACTTTTCCTGTTTAAGGTTTCTTGTAAGTTTGTAATATTTGCAATGGTATGTGTATGTCCAACGTTACTTTTACTGTTTAAGGTTTCTTGTAAGTTTGTAATATTTGCAATGGTATGTGTATGAGTCTTATTTGCTTTTGTCTCTAATGTTTCTTGTAAGTTTGTAATATTTGCAATGGTATGTATATGAGTCTTTTTAGAATATTCGTTTTCAGCTCTTGTCACTTCACTTGACATTTTATTGTCAACATATGTTTTGTCTGCTAGTTCAGGATGAGTATGTTCTTTTGTTGCATAAGCATTGTTAGCTCTTTCTTCTTCTTTTGCTATTGCATCGTCTACATATTCTTTGTCAGCTTTGTTGTCAACATCTGCTTTCAAAAGAAGTTCATTTATAGGTTTCTCGTTTAAAGTTCCTTTTGTTGGATTTATACAGACAGTATGGTTCTTCTTGTCTTGAAATAGAAACTCATCTGTCATTGGGTTTAATGTCAGTTTTAAGTTTCCTTCTTTCAATGACTCAGATATCTTAGAATAGTTTGAAAAGTTTGTTGTTTCTTATTTAGAGCTTGCATAATGAGTTGTCGGTTGTGTTGTATTTCTCTCATAGACGCTGTTTCATTTGACATTTTTATTATAGATAAAATATGCTTTCAATAGAAAAAGAAAATTCTAGAGTTGCTACAACTAAACCATTAGATGAACTTTTTACTAATGTCGGTCAAAAGTTTGAGACAGATACCGTAAAGCATGAAGGCTATCGTTTTGACTACCCATTAAGATGGTTAAGAGACCCATCCGTCACAAAAGCTATTGGCTTTCGTAGAATGAAGTTCATTTCAAAGCCATACATGGTTTCCCATTTACGGTCGGTTTGAAGTTCGATACTATAACAAAGAAAAACGTATGTATGAGAAATTTGAACAGGGAAAACTTTTACAAGTTAGTTTGCTTGTAAACTTAGAAACAACTCTTCAAGCTTTTCAAGAAAAAATAAACGATATCTATATTGAATATGCAAATCAGTATAACATTGACGAAGGAGAAACCATCTCGATATTATTTATGACAGGAAAAATGCAACTGTTAAAATCAATAAAATAGAAGACCTTGGAGAAAACGTTTATATTTCTACAAAATATAACAACTTGGCATGGTATAGATTTATGAGGATGTTAAATCAGCCTGCAGCATATCCAGTACACCCGGACTATTATGAAGTCGAAAACCCTAATGGAACATATAAAATATTTTCGACCAAGATGCTATTATTGTTCATGCTTCATTTTCTGGCGCCCAAAACTCTTTTTTATGCTTGGCAAATGACTTTTACGAAAAACCTACAAAGTTATACGAACCACCAAGTGGAAGTATTTCAGACTTTCAAGTATGGTTTACTACAGATGGAAGAAAAAGAATAATTCCATTATACCATGCGTTTTACTTAGAACTTAGTTTCATATACAACTACTATCGAACGATAAAAATATAATTTTTAATACGGTTGAGGTGTTGGATTTGGTTGCCAACTTGACTGTGGTGCAGGTTCAGGCTGTTGTATAACAGGAGCTTGTTCTTCTGGTTCAGGGTCTTTAGGTATAATACCAACGAACTGACCTACTCTTTTACCAATATTTTTGACTCCGTTCCAAATTCCTTTTCCGACAGATTTTATTCCATTCCATATACCTCTTCCAACTCTTCTGAAGAAGTTTCCAATACTACTGAAGAAACCCATTTACTACGTGTAAAAATCTAATGTCCGCCTAGTCTTTTACGTTTCCTTCTGAGTTCCATAGCATTCTTTAACTGGAGCTCATACATTCTGTTTCTCCTCTGGTAGAAAACATATTCTGGGTCAACTCCTGTGTTCGCGTCATCTGCATAAAGTTGTTTATATCCCACTTCAGGGTTTGTATAAAACTCTTTCCATCTCATATTTGCATACCATGGTGGCAAACCTAACGCAGCGTCATTTGACATGGCAGTTTGCATTTGTACATCTGTTGGCACTTGACCATAGTTTGCCATTGCAGTTTGTATTCTAACTTCATTTGGAATATTCTCTGGGTTTGGTTGTCCAGGTTGCTGTGCATTCGCTAAGTTCTGTGCGTCCATTTAATATTAGATAAAAATATCTCTTACGAGTACATATACTGAACATTTGCAGGCATTGGTTCATCTTCATATTCTCTGTACTTTTCTGCCACGTCAAATAAATAAATGACACAATGGAAAAACCTAAAACAAGTAGTCCTATTTCAAACCACATTTACTTACTAATAAATTTCTTTATTGTGACACTTTCTCCGGTTTATAGGACCTCTCTCATATTCTATCTTGTCATATCTAAACTCATAGTCATGTATGTCCTCTAACCATCTCATAACGGTTTCCAACCACTTTTATCGGATGTAAAGTAAAAGCATGGATGGTTATGTAAAACGTCTAAAGTTTCTAAAGAGTCTCTCAAAGTCCAGTCTACTTGGTATTGAAAATCTCATGTGTTATAGAACGGCGGGTCCACTATAAAGAAAACATTTTCCTTGTCTTTATATTTTTCATACAACTCTGTCCAATGACATCTCACAAACTCTATACCCTCAATATATTTTTCTATGTTCTCTTTGAAAACATTTGTATAGTTAAGATATAAAACGTTTGACATAAGTGTTTCAATGTCATGAACTCTTATAGAACCACTATATAATAGTCTAGCAGATATACTATCCCAGTCTATATATTTCTGCTTTTTTTCAAAACCTCTCTCACAATATTTTGTTATCTAATGGTATACGTTCCATCTTACCTATAGGTATCTTTTCTTTTAACTCTTTCAAATATTTTTGTGTCTGGTATATGTTTGAAGACGGTCCATATAGTTGTCGAAGTCATTGCATATAATCTTTGAGTCTGGGAATATTGTATGGCACAAATGGATATATAGAAACTTCCACCGAACAAATCTACAAATGTTAGACCATTCGGTAGTTTCTTAAGTTCTCTCAATAGAATATCTTTACATTTACTCTTATTTCCAAAGAACGGTAACGGTGGTTTTGTAAAATTCATTTATATATAATAATAAAAATGTTTTTACCTGAAAAGTGACAAAACATGAAAACATATATAATTTGTGAAAAGCGACACAAAAAAGTTAACGGCTGGTCGGCTGGGGTTCGGTCCTCCTCTTGGGTCTTGGGAAAAACATCTTCAGGGCTAGAGGGCGCAACGCGCCTGGAAGCCCTCCGAATAAAAACTTCATTTATACTAAACATCTTCAGGGCTAGAGGGCGCAACGCGCCTGGAAGCCCCACTACCTTTTTTTTTATTCTCAGGTGTTAAAGTCTGGTTTTCATAGAAATAGTTGTGTTCAAATTTTTCATTATTTAAACTATTTATGACGCGTAAAGCTCTGTTTCCCAGTGAAACAGCTGTATTCAATTCTGAATAAGTCCAATCAAATATAATGTGAATAATATATTCATTTTTTTCTCCAAAATCTTGTCTGAATGTTACTTAAAAAAAAAAAAAAAAAGGTAGTGGGGCCTCCAGGCACTTCGTGCCCTCTAGCCCTGAAGATGTTTAGTATAAATGAAGTTTTTTGGGTACTGGGGGCCTCCAGGCGCGTTGCGCCCTCTAGCCCATAAAAAATTTTTGAGAGTCGTCGTCGTTGACTTTTTTGTAGAGCACTCAAAATAGTATAACTTTGTCCGGACAAGTAAGGGTCTATCGTCGCTACAGGAAAAGTTACGGGCGTTCCAAGGAAGTATACTTTGAGAGACTCTTTAGAAAACTTTAGACGTTTTACATAACCATCCATGCTTTTACTTTAATCCGATAAAATGGTTTGGAAACCGTTTATGAGATGGTTAGAGGACATACATGACTATGAGTTTAGATATGACAAGATAGAATATGAGAGAGGTCCTATAAACCGGAGAAAGTGTCATATAAACATCTGTCAAAAACCGCTTTTTAACTTCACTTAAAATGCCACGTAAGCTACGTAAGAATATACGTAAGAGGAAGAGAGCATTGAAACATCCAATAGTAAAACTGACACCACAACAACAGTTGCAACAACAAATGATGAATGACCCCACTATGTTGCAACAAATGTCAAGCAATCCTATGCTTTTAAACCGAGTTCTTGGTGCACAGAGTGGAGGTTTAAGAGCGGCACTTTTAGCGAAAATGGCAGGCTATGGTGGAGCTGCAGACGGAACAGCCTATAACCCTCAAAGTCAAATGAATTTGAGTTCACTCAAAAATCAAATATCAGATGTCAAAAAGTCAAACATAGACATACAGAAGCAAATAAGTGAAAACGAAAAGAAACTAGAATATGACAGACACACAAAGAAACTCAATGAGTTAAACGTAGAGAAAAAGAAGAAAGAAGAACAACTGAAAGAACTAAGTACAGAGGAATATGCGAAAAAAGTGTCAGAAAAAGCAGCAGAAGTAGCAAAAATGGAACAAGATGTTGTAAATTTGAAAAACCATACTACTCAATATAAAGTACTGAAAGATGAAGAGATAAAACAAAAAGCCATGAAGACATATATGGATAGCGATGAGTATAAAAAAGAAGTTGAAGCAAATGTAAAGGCAGAAAAACTTTTACAGTTGCAAAACCAAACCGTACAGTATGAAAACTTAGCACAAGAAAGTAAAAATAACGACGCAGCCATGCAAAAGGCAATGAAAAGCGCAGAATATATAAAAGCTAACAATGACTGGTTAGATGCCCAAGCCAACGCCAAAGCAGCCCAACTTATAGGGTCAATAAGGACAAAAATACAAGCGGATGAAGACAGTTCAAATGAAGCTTTAACAAATGCTGACTTTAAGAACGCCTTCGAAGCTCTTCATAGTAAGGTGAAACAAGTGAACGACTTCTCATCTGGAAAGAAACTGAAGTCTGAAGGTTTCGACAAAGAGTTAAAAGAAGTAGCACAAAATATGACGAAAATAACAGATGCAGCAACGAGACAGGCAGTTCAAAGTGCCTATGACGCCGTTAGAGCAACTGTTGTGGAAAGTCAAGAAAAAGAGTTACAACAGACCAAAACAGACCTAGTAAATGCTTTCTTAAAAACGAAAAGTCAGGTAGGACATTATGCTGCAGATGGAACATATGTGCCAGCTGGTGGAACTTATATACCACCAAACCCTCCAAGAGAAGCACCTGCACCAGGACTACCTAAAACATTTACATCGTCACATGGACACAGACACAAGCATGCACCAAAACCAACACAACAACCAACAGTTCAAAATCCAGCACAACAACAACAACCAGCACAACAACCACCTCCACAACCAGCACAGCAACCAACAGTTCAAAACCCTGCACAACAACAACCACAAACAGAGCAAGGACATAAAAGAAGTAGAGAACAAGGAAACCAAGATTTCTTAAAAATGCTTAAAGAAGACTATGGTTACCCAGATACTCTTGACTTTAGTGACAGATATAAAGAAGCTATTAGAAAGTTCAAGGAAGGAAATACTGACCCGAACCTATTTAGCTTTATGGCTCAGCACCAAATGGGATATAATTTCAAACCTGGAAAATACAAGCTCGCTAAGGATATGATTTAATAGCATATCATCCAAATGACATGACTGAATTTACTCCGAGATATTTGGTGTCAGAGCTAAATGACAATTCAACTCTCTTCATGAAACGCGTAAAAAATAGAGACGGAACGAAAGAAGAAAGGTTTATGAGTCCGGATGACTTAGATAGGGAACTTTTTAAAACGGTCTCGGAATATATGAAATGCCAGCAGATGAGGTACAAGAAACTCCACAGGAAGAAGTTCAGATACAACCAGACATGGAAGAAATAGTTCAGCAACAACAGCTAGAAGAGCCTGAAGGAAACGAACAAGTCCCTCCTTTGGAAACTAACTTCACAGAACTAGATGAAGATTTGGAACAGCCGAAAAATCTTGACCTCAAACAAGACTATGAGGTGAATATGGAATCTTTCCAAGAGTCTAAGAAAAAATTCGGCTGACAGAGT